TGCTCAGGCTGGTTTCGAACTCCTGAGCTCAAACAATCCGCCCGCCTCGGCCTCCCAGAGAGCTAGGATTACAGGCGTGAGCCACCGCGCCCGGCCTCTTTTTCCTTTTATTTAATATTTTTGCGCCAATATCACACTGATCGCAATTACTATGAGTTTATCTTGATAACTGTATGGTCCGTAGCGTAAATTCTCCAACTTTGTTCTTTCCGGAAAGTCCACGGAACCCAAATCACGACCTTTCGAATTCCCCTCCGGAAGATGAAGGGTAGGAACCAAGCCTGGAAGACGCTAGTCAGACCTTAGAGTACTGTCTGTCCTACCTATACCTTGCGGGGGCGAACTCCGACGCGCATGCGCAGCCTAAATGCCGCGCGGGGTGGGTGGGGTACACGTCACTTCCGAGGCGGGAGCATGAAGCTGATTGACCATGGTGTCTCCAGCAAGCAGGTAGGGGCTGGGGAGGAGGCAGCCTCTGAAATGAGGGGAAAGGGTCAGGCTTTGAGCTGAAGGGAATTCTGGGCTGGGTGAGGAGAAGCGGTGTAGTGGCCGAGCGAAGGCTGCGGGCCATGAGGGAGCGCGCCAGGTCCCGGGCGGCTTCTGTATCCCCTGCGACGCCCAACTGTGAAGGAAGACTCAGCTCAGGCACTGCGGCTGGAACCCTGGCTGTCGCGTGTTCTCTTTGGGGAGTCCCCGCCCGTCGCTGAGGTCTCGGAGTCTCGGTTTCCGCGGCTGGAAATGCTTGCAGTGATGCGCGGAGCCTACCACCGCGGGGCGTGGGTGGTGTGTGTGAAAGGCCACTGCGCCCAAAGTGCTCTTTGGCTCGCCCCTGTCTGTTTCTCAATCTCTGCTTAGGGAGGCCCAGCAGCGTGTGCAGGTGGGCTGGAGCACTGGAGTCCGTGGCACCTTAGCCTGGTGATGGACAGTTAGGATTAGCAAAGGAGATCCAATTTTTCAGAGGGCAGGAGAGGGTACTGATTCTTGAGCATCCACCGAATGGCTGTTTGAGATGTCTTACTTCTCCAGACCTTGCTCTGCCACTTCCTGATTGTGAGACTTTGGGCAAATGTCTTAAACTCTTAGTGTCTGTTTCTTCAACTGTAACTTTGTGGACAGTAACTCCTACTCATAAGGTTGTCATGAAGCATAAATGAGATTGCACGTGCAAGGTACTCAGGTCGTGTCTGGCACATAATAGGCATTCAACAAATGGTGCCCGTACAGTTTTCATTTCAGTTCCTGAACCTTTGGTATAGTGATCTGAGTGTTGAGAAGTTGCTTTTGAAGTAACTTTGGGTTTCATATACAGATATTTACAGTGAGCAGAATGCTTCTCTTTGGAATTGCCAGAAAGTGCTTTTCAGGTTTTCCAGCCTGTGTGGGGGAGAAAAAAGAATAAGTCTGTTTCTAGGGAAGTGGCTGATGGAAAAAAAGGATCTAATCTTTAGCTTGGTGTTATAGAATTAGGATTAGCAAAAAAAGACGTAATTTTTCAGAAGGGCAGGAGGGGAACTATTTCGAGTACCTGCCAGAATGGCTGTTTTAAAAATCTTTCTTCCTCCTCATCACAACAGAGTAAAAAGTGAGTGGTATCACCATGTGTTTTTAGAAGAGTTATGGAGGCTAAGATTACCTACAGCAAATAAGTGAGGGAGGCATGCATTTAGACCCAGGGCTTTCTGCAAAGCGTATGCTCATTCAAGTACAAAATTGCTTTTCATGGGAGGATTGCTAGATCCTAGGCGTTTGAGGTTGCTGTGAGCTGGGTTAACGCCACGGCACTCGCCTGTGTAAGAGAGTGAGACTCTATCTCAAAAAAAAAAAAAAATTGCCTTTCAATGGGTCTTCATTAAATAAATTATATTTAAAAGATAATCTGGAGCCTTGCCATAAAATGATCAACATATCGAGGCCCACCTCTCCCCCCAGTTTTTTCCTAAGATAATGATGCTTTTTATTCTCCTGAGGTTTATTATGGAAGCAAGTGGAGACGGAAGGAATAATCATAACGGGGCCTTGGTCAGGGGTGGCCAGTAAGACTGACAGCTCTCCTTTCTGCTGGGATTCCCCAGGATGGCATTCTGCTAACCCTCAAAGCAATGTGGTGAGGCTTCCAGATTGACAGTTGATTGGAGGTTATGTAGTCCTTAAAGGAAGGCCTTATAAAAATGGTTTTACATAAATTATGTTTTGCTGAATTAATCTTTTTTGGGAAAGAGAGGACCTCTTAATTTGTTAATTTTTTTTTGCTTTGCAACATTTGGAGCTTTTTTGGATCATACATTTTATTCTAGTACATTGGCTAATGGGGTAGGTTAGGGTTTCTTTTATCAAAAAATGCAGACTCTGAAAAAATCATTTATAACATTGGAAAGCGTCTTTGTGTTTTTTTTTTTTTTTTTTGAGACAAAGTCTCACTGTATTGCCCGGGCTAGAGTGCCATGGCGTCGGCCTAGCTCACAGCAACCTCAAACTCCTGGGCTCAAGCGATCCTCCTGCCTCAGCCTCCCGAGTAGCTGGGACTACAGGCATGAGCCACCATGCCCGGCTAATTTTTTCTATGTATTTTTAGTTGTCCGATTAGTTTCTTTGTATTTTTAGTAGACACAGGGTCTCGCTCTTGCTCAGGCTGGTCTCGACCTCCTGAGCTCAAACAATCCGCCTGCCTCGGCCTCCCAGAGAGCTAGGATTACAGGTGTAAGCCACCGCGCCTGGCCAGCATCTTTTTTTTAATTTTTTTCTGGACTGTAGATTGATTAGGGATCTGGTAGAAACACAAACAGTAGTTACTATTTGCTAATTTATGACATACATTGTGTCATTTATCCAACAGGAAAGTACTGTTTTAGTTACATTTTTATAGATGAAGAAATTGAGACTCAGAAAGGTCAAATGATATGTCCAAAGTGGGAGTATGTAAGGGAAGACCAAAACAAGTTTAAAAGGGGTCTGTTGGGGAATGGAGAAGGCACCAGGAAGTGGGGTGGATGGGTGGAGTTGGTGATACTGGAATACTGAAGAACACCAAAGTGAAAGGATATTTTGTTATTGAGGCATGGAGTTTTCTACAGGAGGGGAAGGGCAGTTGTCTTGAAAGCAAAAGGATGTTTCCGTATTTGAATGTCCTTGGACAAAGGCAACATAGCTGGACTGAGGTCCTGTAGGTTTTGAAGCTAAGGTTTGGAACTCTGCTCCCTCAAGTAATGGATTCCTGGTGCACTTTGCTTTGGAAAAACTGGACCCTGTGCACAAAAGTGTGCAAGCCAGATGAGTGGGTACATGATCACTTTATATCGAGAAGTAGTCTTGGCTTTATAAGCAGATCCCTGTATCAGGGTTCTTTTGGATAATATGTTCCTGTAGTATACTTAAAATATTCGTTTTATTCAGATTTGCAACACTGTATTGGCATAAAGGGAGCTATGTCTGTCCCCTAGTTAAGGATATGTAATGTGCCTTCTCTGCCATATACATGCCCCCTTTTCTTCTTCATTAGTAATAACAGTTAATATTTATTGGGTGTTTGCAATATTCCGGGCACTGGGCTAAGCACTTAACTGGATTATTCAATCGTATAATAACCCTGTAAAATAAGAACTATTATCTTCATTTATAGTGGGAGAAACGTGCTCAGAGATGGTAAGAAATTTATCCAAAAGGCACAGAGTTAGTAAAGGCAGAGCCAGTACCATGTCACTTCAAAACCTAGTGTTTATCTATGTATTTTATACTTTCCTTCATTTAACAGATATTTATTGAAAACCTTTGTACCTGCAATGTGCTAGGTGTTGGGGATACAATGATGACCAAAACAGATATAGCACCTGTCCTCAAGTTGCTTATAAATCTAGCAAGGGAGATAGACAGTAAATAGATAATTAAAAGTAAATATTAATTATGGTTATGAAACATGCTATGGAGGACAGTAGAGGGTGCTATGAGAATATATAATGGGGTCGCTGGCAGGGGCGGGGAGTAGGGAGAGACAGGAAGGCTTTCCTGAGAAAACACTATTTAGCTGAGACCTCAAGGACTGAGTTGGAGTTAAATTGGGCAAGGAGCTACCAGGGTAAGGGAAGGGCATGTGTGAAGCCTTGAGACTAGGAGGAGCTTGTATCTTAAAGGCCTATCTGGGCCGGGCGCGGTGGCTCACGCCTGTAATCCTCGCACTCTGGGAGGCCGAGGCGGGCGGATCATTTGAGCTCAGGAATTCGAGGCCAGCCTGAGCAAGAGCGAGACCCTGTCTCTACTAAAATAGAAAGAAATTAATTGGACAACTAAAAATATATAGAAAAAAAAATTAGCCGGGCATAGTGGCGCATGCCTGTAGTCCCAGCTACTCGGGAGGCTGAGGCAGAAGGATCGCTTGAGCCCAGGAGTTTGAGGTTGCTGTGAGCCAGGCTGATGCCATGGCACTCACTCTAGCCAGTGAGACTCTGTCTCAAAAAAAAAAAAAAAAAAGGCCCGTCTGGCCCAAAGGTGGAGAATGTTGTAAGGTCAGATGCCAAATGTAGGTAGGGATCTTATCCTTAGAGCAATACTGCTCCCCACTCTTGGTTTATTTGTTTCTCAGAATGTGCAATTAATTCCACAGACTGCGTCTGTTTTTCCAGCTCTGTCTTGGAGCCTAGTCTCCTATCGTCAAACATGTGGTTAGACCTCTGGTTGCCCACAGGAGGGGTTGGGGATGAGAAGAGGGATAAATATGTAAATGTGAGACTTAATCAGCAAACACTTTTTTAGCCTCACTGTGGTCCAAGCCCTATGTTAGCCACCTAGGATACAAATATGAATAAGACACACTCTCCCTCCACCATGCATAATTTAGTTAACGTTTTATTTGCCTTCCACTTAAGATACTACATTTGTTTTAGCAACATTTGTTTTTGTGTTTTTGAGACAGAGTCTCACTCTGCCACCCAGGCTAGAATGCAGTGGTGTCATCATAGCTCACTGCAACCTCAAACTCCAGGGCTCAAGCGATCCTCCTGCTTCAGCCTTCCAAGTAACTGGGACTACAAGCATATGCTACCAGCTAATTTTTCTATTTTTAGTAAAGGTGGGGTCTCGGTCTTATACAGGCTGGTCTTGTACTCCTGAGCTCAATCGGTCCTCCCCCTTCGGCCTCCCGGAGTGCTATGATTACAGGTGTGAGCCATCGCTCACAGTAGTGTGGTGAGCAAACAGGCATGGTCTCTGTCCTCATGGAGCTTAAGCTCCCAATTGAGGCTGGAAGACAGAGATGAGGGAGAGAGTTGGCGAGGTGAAGTAGAAGAGGTAGGCAGGAGTTAGATCATGGACGCTGCATAGACCATGCCAAGGATTAGAGGCTTATTCTAAGAATGGTGGGAAGGCACTGAAGAGTTTCAATCAGGGGACTAGCACCATCAGGTGTGTGTTTATAAAAGGTCACTCTGGCTCTTCCACTTAAGAAGCAGAAGTTGATGGCT